AGATCAGATACAGGTAGTTATTTGTTACAGTTCAGAGCACCTTTATTTTTGTTTTTATCGTCTGAAATCGTAAGAATAATGTTGACCTAAAATGGCGCGTTCCAAAAATTCAAAATGACCATTGTACAGTTGTAATTATTTATTGTGAAAAAGCGCCTTGTAAATCATTCTCAGCTTAGGTTGTTATACATATAATTAACTGCTGTTTAAACGCATGCATGTATTTTGCACCATTGTATTTATCTTTCATGTTTTTCGTATGAATATTAGAATATGTTATTGTATTTTCTGCATCGTCCCGATCATGTAAAATTTACTTAAAAATTAGAACGTGTTGTAGTATTCCGGAATTTTAAATGTAGGTTGGTTTTAGAGGATAATATCGTTATGTACTTGTATCCGGTGTTAACTTTTTCATTTGGAAAATCGAAAGATTTGACCCCACGTTTATGTTTTTTCAGAAAAGGTGAGCTTTATTGTTCATTATAGCTGCTGGATGTGTTCAATGTTATTCTCAGAAGTAGTTTCTTGAATCGTACATTTATTTTTTGCTGAATTGTTTTTATTATTGATGGAAGACTGTGCTGCACAGCTGAGGAAGGGGTTCAATATATTTTTAACATACATGCAATCTAGAATCGTAAATATTAGACATGTAAGAGGGCATCATGATGGGAGAATGCCATTGTGTAGTATTGTATCACTGTGAAATGCCAATTTGTACATGTTGTAGTCATGAAAGTAAAATTCCTGAGAACTTGCAGATTTTTGGGCTATGAAAGTGACTTGATAATTTTCGTAATGCCGCACATTATTCAAGTTGAAGTATTTTATTTTCATACCATACATAAGGATTTTAAAGCAAATGTCAAAAGTGAATAAACTATTTATATACAAAGGTACATAAGCATCTTTTCTTACAAGGCATAATTATGATGGATTAAACTTAAAATGATATTTATTTTAAATTAAATTTTAATTTCATGTTGACACATATGCATGTTTTGATCTATATGAAATAAATAAGACTATTTAAGCAACCTAAAACTTGATTTAGTGTGCATGGTTTAATTCTTCATTAGAAATACTTATGTTATTTTTGTACCTTGGGCTTCAAATATTAAATGTGGTGCTGCACCGTGCAGTTTCTAAACATCAGAAATCACTTTTAAATCATATTAACCATAAACATGATTCTCTTGATATCAAAAGAACAGCTATTGTTTACCTGTATATAAATTCTGCATTATGATAGACTGGAGCTTGATGAAATGAGCAATTGGCCATTATCAATTTCTTAAGTTGCATGCATTGATATTATATATTATATATCTGCTCTCATCCGAGGGAGCAGTCTCTATGTACTACATTGGATTCAGACCCGTGATGTAAGAATCAGCACCTACTTCCCAACTTGAGGCGTGTCGCTCTAACCACTGGGCCACACTGTGTGACCCATTATGAAAATTTGACATAATACTTTTATGTCTATATGACTTCTAAATTTTATTGACTTGATAAAATGACTGATACACAAATAAGATTTTTGTAATCTCTCTGTTTATAGCTGTTTACCATTTGCCATATTTCTATCACTAATTAAATCAATTTTCAACAATGGCCACTAAAGAGTCATAGTTCTGTCTTATTATATAAATAGTTATCTGCCCTTGATGCAAAATGAAATAAATAAAATAAAGTATTAAATGGATTATAATTTTGAATCAAAGAAGGCCTACATATCTTAAACAAACATAATTTAGATGCAGTCTTGCTTTTATGAAAAATTGTAACTTATTTAATTTTTCTCACTCTCAGATATAATTGCTTTTCAAGAACTTTTAAATTGTGGTTGTGACAGGACTGCCACTTAGAATTAGACCAGAGTGTGTCCATTTTAAAATGATACAATTTTCCATCATTTTTTTTCTTTGTCATGTGTCTATTAGAATTTTAACTGAATGTCAGGTGCAAGGAAATGGACATGCAAGTGGTTTTTGGGCTTTTCTTAGCTCATGCTAAAAACAAAAACAGTTATTAATGTACAGTACTGTACTAACTTGATTTATTTTAATTTCAGATATCCACTGAACAAATCATCTGAAAACTAAGGCTAATAGGAGAGGATGAAGAATACTTCTGTTAAAAGGTATGTTTTAACAGTGAGTAAGAACTTAATATAATTTATCATGATTTATGTAGCTCTATTTTAGGAAATTAAGGACTAAAGCATAAAGTTTATGTTTTTATTTTCTATTGTTTTGTTAATCTCACTGTGTAATGTTAAGCTCTCTATTTAGTATTTATCATCATGATCATAGTCAGTGTGTTGTGGGGTTGGGGAGGGGGAGGGGGTTTACATGTAAGCTGCTTTCCTCTACTTTTTAAGTTTTATATAATATATTTATATGTTTCCATGAAATAAACAGATGTTAACATTTTCTTAGAAAGTCTCATTTTGTGAGCTACCTACTAAAATTGTATGATTTATTTAAGATAAGTATTATCAACATTTTTAGCTTCTCTGCAACCGCTCAACCAATTTCAACCAATTTCGGTGAAGGGGAACAAAATTTATAAATTTTATCCCCCCTCCCCCCGCGGGCCTGAGGGGTGGGGCCAAAACCACTAACATTCATGCAATCTTTGAAAATCCCCTTCTTCTTTTCCCCTCCTGAACATCAAGCAGTCAAACTGTTGGTATGATTGTAATCGGCATTGAGTCCTCTACCATAATTATGAAATTCATGACCCCAGGGTCAGGGATTCTAGTATTAGGGTGGGTCTTATAGCTCTTTGGAATTAATCAAACCATTTAAGATGAAATAAAACCTATGAAAACATTTAGTAAATTTTGAAATGTGTGGCCCCAGGGTTAGTGGTTCCTGTGGGGTGGGGTACACAACTGGTGGTTATAAAATGGAATTGCATTGTATCTTTATTACTCTGATCTACCTTTGGGTATTAAGTAACCAAAGTAAGCATGTTAACTAAGTGTATAATTATGATAAACAAAGGTGCGTCTTTCAAAATTGTGAATTTCATGGATTTTTGTTTAAATAACGAACAAACTTCAATTGAGTGGAAGTTGTTAGGCCTAGAAAAAAAAAATATTTGTTTCCCCTTTCAGGCTGAAAAAATATAGGTAGATAGGTAGGTAATTATTTTTTTTTGAAACATTTTTTTTTTGCTTCTTGAATCAAAAAGTGTATAGAAGTAACATTAATGACAAAAGAAATGGTGTTTTCAAGCATTTCTGTGACTTAAAAGAAAGGTAACTCAAACTTCTTTCTGTCTTGAACATGTTGAAAAGCTTGCAAAGTTGGAGACTATAATTCCCTGGGTGAAATCTTGCACTTCATGGGACAAAAGCATTAAAAAAAAATTTAGAGTCGGCACTATATATTAGGGTCGGTCGGCTTTACATGATACTCAGGTGACCTATAAGGTCTGTGGGCCTCTAGTTGTTATTCAAATATCATGAATCATGGTCTAAGGGTCTAGGTTAGGGGTACAAAAAATATTTTGATGAACAAGTAAAATGAAGAAAAAAATCCTTAATTTACTCTGAAAATCTTATCAGAAACAAATCCATACATACATATTCAGTACATTTAAATACATTCAAGTTTGTTTATTTCATTATCCCTTGTCAAGTGTTTAAAACAGGCAACTTTAATAAACTAATGAGATTTTACACTTGATAAATTTTTAGATTTTATTTTAAATCATTCTGATCAAAAATGCTGAAAATCTGAAATTATTCAAACAAAGGCTTGTGCTAGAACAGTTTTAGGAACTTTCAGTTTGTCGTTTTAGGAACTTTCAGTTTGTCAATCTTATTAAAATTAGATGTTAGATCTGCGCACATATTGGCTAAAATCTAATGGCATCCTATAGAGTGTCACATCAGATGTTAAATTCTATTAACCAATCAATTACTCGAATGCAAAAATTATTGTATTTAATTTATTGGAATGAATAAGTCTAGAGTCTGAGTTGTTCCGTATTTGACATTTGACGTGACCTTCTATGGATGCTGTTAGATGTTGTGTAGCGAGTATGCAAGAGGATCTAACATGTTGTTTTATTTAGATTGGGATTTTGTTAAACTATATTTTTATATATTTTCAATAGGTTGAAGTAACTGACGAGCAGGTCAATCCAACTTGAACTTGAAGTGCAAGTGGGTCTTCAAAAATGTGGACCACTCAAGGACTTTTCTGTTGGTTGATGATGGACTACAAACTGAATATTTAACGAAGAAATCCACTTTGGTGCTTATTGGCTACTAATGATGTGAACTTGTGCATTTATTATACCAAGTACTTTTACATTTCCTTGATGATACTAGACTTGTATATACCGAATTCAGGATTAGTTGATTGATTGCAGTTCTAAGTTCCTCTCGCAAGATTATATCTATCATGTATGAGACATCATTTAATGCAGACATTTTCTCTAATAATAACATTAAATATTCTTTGATAACTAGTGTGAGTGTGTTTTGTTTTTTCCAATATGAAAATTCAGGGGGAAAATGAGTTTTGGTTGAAAAGCTGAGCTAAATTGTATAATTTATAGTACAGTTTCTGTTGCAGAAACCTATGGTACACCATATGTATTTCAACCGCATACGCATACTGAAACCTTGCGTAAACCTCAAGTTTCAGCAAGTTTCAGTTGCGGAAACCTATGGTACACCATATGTATTCCAACCGTATACGCATATTGAAACCTTGCGTAAACCTCAAGTTTCAGCAAGTTTCAGGTGCGGAAACCTATGGTACACCATATGTATTTCAACTATATACGCATACTGAAACCTTGCGTATACCTCAAGTTTCAGCAAGTTTCAGTTGCGGAAACTATTTGGATTCGTGGACACCTTTGGTTTCCCCACTGCGGAAACTTGATGAAACTTGAAGTTTCCGCACTGAAACTTTGCGGAAACTATTAGTAACCTTAAGTTTCCGCAGAGTTTCAGTAGAGTTTCAGCCATGCGGAAACTGTATTTTTTATCCAGTGACTGTGACAAGGTGCTACCACCAGGGGCTGAGGATATACTCATGTTGGACAAGGACGAAATCGAAAAACTGGATGAATGCGATGTAAGGAAGTGCGAAAGCGTAACAGAAGATGGGAACATCTTTACTTCATTAATCGCCGAAATTCACACATATGCACATGCTAGGAACGTTTACAAAAATATTCTACGCAACCCGGACTATGCCTGTGCCAACTATAATATCCTTGTATACCGATTCAAAGATGCCCAAGGGGGAGTGCATGACGGTTATTGCGACAATGGGGAATACGGGGCCGGACGTCGACTACTTAAGGTACTGGTTGAGAGAGAAGTATCAAACGTAGCGATTGTCATTTCGAGGAAGAATGTTAAACATTTAGGTCCCCGTCGGTTTGACATTATGAAGGATCTGGTACACAAAGCCGTCAGCCACACTTGTTATTAAGATTTTTAATAGATCAACACTTACAATAAACACTGTCACTGTGTTACATGCAAAAGTAATTTTTGTTAAAATTTCCAATTCATAAGTACAATTACATGTACGGTCTAATAGTATTTCTAAGTTTGAATATTTTTATACTTGGTTAGTTCTTTCCGGAAAAATATTAGTTACACAGATTGACTCATAAACTATTTAGCAGGTCTGGACGATTTCTAAATATGGAAGTCAAGAATGGTAACCTAAAGTTGCTATAAATGTACATCAAGTACACGTAATTATTTTTCTGTCCAATCAGGCAACAGCATTGTTACACACCCCAAAACATACCTTAAAAGAACAAAGAGAAAACACGTGCTTTTGTTTTTTTCCTCAAAAAGATTTTTGTAACAAAAAATCTGTAGAAGTAAGATGAAAACTTTTGAAGAATAAGGTATTCTCCACATTTTTACCGTGAACAACCTTGACATTTTTATCTCGGTAAAGAAAAAAAAATAATGAACGATAGAATGTAATCGTTTACATGCAGAGGTATAGATCGCACCGACAAGTTTTTATCAAGTTCAATTATAACATTTACCAGAATATATTATACGATAATAAATAAAATTTTGCTTAGCCGTCTGATTTTTATCGATAATTCTTAAATTCCATGTGTATAGATCAACTCACACAAGTACGTTTATCGTATGGACTATACACATATAGTTTTAAATTATCACGGGTTTCATCAGCGCCGAATACCTAGCTATGCAGACTTTAAATTGGCATAAGGAAAGGCGTATAACGTGGAGAAAAGAGAATCCTGTAATTATACATGAATGCGTTTTATCCCAATATCTTACCTTGCATATCAGAAACTGCATGGACTATTCTGTAATAAACATTCAAAAATAATAAAGACTGATATCTTTTCGATAAGATGTTTATGTCAGGCTCTAAAACCTGAAAAATTACCGTATTTAGATCAAATTTTTAACGTAAGTTAAACTTTTGGGATTGCTACCTCCTAGAGACAGATTTTTTATCCCACTTAAAACGTATTCTAAGCTTTCAAGTCCTGTTTTGTTCACAATAGAATTGTCATAAATGTTATATTATTCCCAAATGCGCATAAAGTTTACAATAAGTTTGTTCTAAAAAAATCTTTCGAGAAAAAAACTTAAAAACCACGTGTTTTATTTATTTTCTCATGGGTTTGTCTAAATGTTGTTATCTGATTGGTCAGAAGGATTAGTGCCTTGTTTATTATGTGTATTAATAGCATTTCACAGTTATCGTTCTTGACTTCCTTATTTAGAAATCGTCCAGACCTGTTTAGCAATTTATATTTCCGATTGTACTTGTTTTGGGACTACTTATCAGAAGTTTTGTAAACATGGTAAATGCAGATTGACAAATTTACTTTCTCCATCAGTAAATTCGATCAATAGACTGATGCCAATTAGTTTCATTCACCTTGTTTATAAATATGCACCCTTATCTCTCTTTCACGTTTCTATCCCCCTTTTCCTATCTTTCCTTTACATTGGGCATTCATTCGATTCTTTATTGATGTTTTTGTACGATTACGGTAAAAGATAATAATCTAAATATACTTACAGTTAACTACCAGGGTCTTGGATATAAAAATAAAAGATTAGATGTTTTTAATACTTTAAGGAAAAAGAACTATAATGTTTATTTTCTGCAAGACACACACTTCGTTAAAAGTGACGAAAAATTTATCCAAACACAGTGGGGCTATCGGGCATTTTTCAGTTCTTATAAGTCTAATTCACGTGTTGTTGCTATTCTTTTTAATAATAATTACGAAATAGATATCCACAAACATTTAAGCGATGAAAATGGAAATTACATAATAATAGACTGTACTATTGAGGGTATGAACTTTATACTTGTAAATATTTATGTGCCAAATTCTGATACACCAGTTTTCTATTCTAATTTGATAAATGAGATTGAAAAAATCTACATGTTGCAACAAATAATCATAGCAGGCCATTTTAACTTAGTTTTAGATAAGGAATTAGATTCCATGAAGTATAAAAATTTGAACAATCCAAAAGCGAGACTGGAAGTTATAAATTTAATGGAAAATTTGAATCTAAAAGATATATTTCGTGAAAACTACGCTCAAGTTAGACGCTATTCGTGGAGAAAAAAGACACCCTTAAAACAGGCTAGACTATAGACTTTTTTCTTATATCTGAAGCTTTGCTCCCTTCTGTTAGTAGTGTTCAATATGAAAACAGTTACAGATCCGACCATTCTCCAGTTGTGATGTCTTTGAAAATTAATGACTTTATTAAAGGTAAAGGATTTTGGAAATTTAACAATTCTCTTTTAACAGATAAGGCATATATTGATTGAATTAAACAAAAAATCAATGACGTAAAAGTTCAGTATGCATGCCCAGTGTATGACATAAATTATCTTTGTTCTGTCGATAATGAATTATTGTTGTTCACTGTTAGTGACCAATGTTTCCTAGAAATTTTACTCATGGAAATTAGAGGAAAGATTATATCTTACTCAAGTTATAAGAAAAAAAGATGCATGAAAGAGAATTATTTTTAGAAAATGAGATTTTACATTTAGAACAAAATCTGACAGAGAGTACATTAGATACCCTTAAAATGAAACAAACAGAACTTGAAGATATACATAAGACAAAGTTAAAGGGACAGGTTATTCGTTCCAGAATGAAATGGATCGATGAAGGTGAAAAACCGTCAAAATATTTTAGTCAACTTGAATCTAGAAATTATTTAAGTAAACTGATACCAAGATTAGAAAAAGAAAATGGATCTATTATTTCAGATCAATATGATATTTTAAATGAAACAAAACTTTTTTTATGAAAATCTATATAAAAAAAGAGAAGTTGTTGAAAATTAAACTACAGCAAAAAATTGTCAGAATATAATGATATCCCAAAGCTGTCTTTTGAAGAAGCTCTAAGTATAGAGGGTCCTATAACAAAATCAGAGGTTCTAAACTTTCTTAAACAGATGAAAAATGATAAAACCCCAGGTCCAGATTGATTCACATGTGAATTTTCTAAATTTTTAGGAGGGATATTGGCACATTTATTACAAGAGCAATCAATGACTCATACTTAAAACAAACTTTTTCCGAACCAAACACATTAGGGGTAATAACATGTATTCCAAAACTGGTAAGCCAAAACAATTTTTAAAAAACTGGCGGCCTATTAGCCTCTTAAATGTTGTATATAAATTAGCCTCAGGGTGCATTGCTGAAAGAATTAAAATATTCTTAGATAAGCTAATACATGGGGACCAAACAGGATTTATTAAAGGTAGATTTATTGGCGAAAATATTAGATTAATATATGATACTATGCACCAAGCAGAGTCAAGAAATATACCTGGTCTCTTAATGTTTAGCGACTTTGAAAAAGCATTTGATACCATTTCATGGAACTTCATAAATCAAACACTTTGTTTCTTCAATTTTGGTCAGTCAATTAGAAATTGGATAAAATGTTTCTATAATAATATAAAGGCCTGTGTTATTCAAAATGGGATTGTGTCTCAGTATTTTTACCCTAAAAGGGGTTGTAGACAAGGTGATCCTATTTCACCGTACCTTTTTTTTTACTTTGTGCAGAGATTCTAGGTATTTTAATTAGAAAAAATAAGGATATTAAAGGTTTAACTATTGATGGTGAAGAAAACAAGTTGTCACAATATGCAGATGATACATCTGTTATTTCTGATGGCTCTCCAAGCTCATTGGATGGAATTACAAGAGTGTTAGATTATTTTGCATCAATCTCGGGTCTAAAAATAAATTTTTCTAAAACTAAATTAGTCTGGATTGGAAGTAAAAAATTCTCAAAAGATGTTTTTCATCACTCAAGATGAAAGTTTGATCCCATTAATACATCCTTTGATTTACTAGGTGTTAAGTTTTCTGTTGATTTACATGAGATGGTAGATATTAATTACAAATTAAAAGTTGAAGAAATTAAAAAAAACCATGTTACAATGGAAAGCTCGCAAACTTACTCCTCTTGGAAGACTGACTGTAATAAAAACATTATTAATTACTAAACTAAATCAGCTTGTCCTCACTTTACCAAACCCTAACGATGATGTCATGAGTGCTTTCGAAAAAGACTTGTAAATTTTTATGGAATAATAAAAATCATAAAGTTAAGAAAAATGTAATTAATCAAGAGCATAAATTTGGGGGCTTGAAAATGATAGACTATCAAAATTTTGTTACTTCATTGAAATCTAGTTGTGTAAGGCGGGTTATGTGCTCAAGTGCAAAATGGGTTAAATTACTTGAAGCAGAATTGGGAATAAGTATAAATCATCTTTGGCTGTTTGGAATTGACTTTATTAAGAATCTGAGTAGTACCACGAAAAATAAGTTTTGGAAAGATGTTTTCTCTAGCTGGTGTAAAGAAAATCAGGCTAAAGCTATAGCTGATTTAAGTCCTCATTGGTGGCCAGTCAATTTTCATCAAAAGTTACTTTAATTCGGGCTTTGTTTTTATCAATGATTTCTTAGATTTAAATGGAAACTTTTTCAGTTTTGATTTTATTCATAAGAACTTGAAGGTAAATACAAACTATGTTGAATATGCCGGACTAAGAACAGCAATTAGAAAGAGACTATCATGGTTTAAGAATTATGAAATAAAGCCAATGCCTAGACCGATGCTTCCATCCAGCCTTGAAATTTTCTTAAAAAGTAAAAAAGGGTGTAACGATATGTATAATGTTCTTATTAGAAATAAAAAGGGCAATATAACTTCAGTTATAAAATGGAGTGAAAATGGGGAAGAATTTAGTGAAAAATACTGGGAAAAATTTTTGAGCTACCTTTCAAAACAACCCAAGAATCAAAACTTCAATGGTTACAATTCCAAATCTTACATAGAGTAATTCCTACTAAATGCCATCTTTTTAAATTAAGACTTATTGATTCACCAAAATGCTACTTCTGTGAGAAGGATATTGAAA